AGTATAACATGCCTCTACTCCACCACTGTGCCCGAGGCCCCTGGTCCCTGCCTGTGACTTTCCATCTGCCTCCTCTTCCCTGCCCTGTCCCCTCAATTTCTTTCCTTCCCTGTCCACTTTCCTACATTCTACGTTCCAGGGATCCCTTTAGTACCTTGCATCCCCTCAGCCTGTTATTCTATATACCACAGATTGCTAGATCATCTTTGTCCTTTTGACTTAACATCATATCCTCCAGTTCTATCCAAGTTGTAGCAAACTGCATGATCTCATCATGCCTTATAGCTGCACAGTATTGCACTATGTAAACATATCACACCTTCATAATGCACTTATCTGCTACTGGGACCCAGCCTGATTCCATAGCCTGACCAGAGTGCTAAGTGTGCACTGAATAATGGTGTGTATATGTCCTTTTGAATTAGTGTCTTTAAGTGCTGGGGGTAAATACTCAGACGTGGGATTGCTGGGTTGTTATGGCAGTCCTATTCTTACTTTTTGGGGAAATCTTCAGATTCCTTTCCGTACGGTTGAGTCACACAACATTCCTGCCAGTAGTGGATGAGAGTTCCTTATTCACAACATCCCTGCCAACAAAAACCGTTTTTTTTTTTTTTTGACATTTGCCATTCTCACAATGGTGTGAAGATGATATCTCATTGTTTTGATTTGGATTTCCCTGATGATAAAATCTGAAGGAATGATACAGAGCTTCATGGACAGGTAACAGCTTAGGGAATTTGTAGCCTTGAAACCACTTTTGCAAGAAGTGTTAAAAGGACCTTCTTTAAAAGACAGACAAACTCTCAACACTGTGCCATCGGCTCTGTAGGGTACTCAACTCATGGTGCTTATGGTTATCTCTACTAGATTAAAAAAGATCTGTTTATTCTTGACTTGCTAAGGACTTTTATACTTTTTCAATAATGAATTAATTTTTCACTTATATTAAATGTTCGGGATCTATTCAGGTGACTATTTTTACATTCACAACTATTTTCAATGCATTTTTTTAATATATCACACCTCCACACCATCCTTATGCAAACAGATCTTAAGTATTATGTACAACACTTTTAAACAATCAAATATATCAAACACAGCTTTAAAGGTCTATTCAGATTTTCCTTTGAATTTTTAAAAAGTCTCCTCTCCTTGTATTAAACTGTATCTCTGCAGGATTCATATCTGTTGCATATAATTTTTTTTCTAAAGAATTGTTCATCATTATTAAAATTTATACAGAACAAAAGATAAACGGTTTTTGGAACTTTTTATCAACTTATCATTCATTTACAACTTTGTGGAATTTCAGTTTAGCTTTACTTATCTACCTACATGTGGGTGTCAGTACCTCCACAATGAAAATAAAAAGATTCCCTCCTTTGTGGGCTATAAAGAAACACAGTGGAGAACAACAAATGGCCCAGAGCATCGAAACTAGAGATTTTGTCTACCGAACTGAGCTTACCTGGTGGGGGGAAGGCTGGAAGAGGCCCTTGGGATACTGATGGAGGGAAGCGGGTGCTGATGATGAGTGTGGTGTTGGAACGATGTATGCATGAAAGCTTAATTAACATACTGTAAATCCTGGTACCTCAATAAAAATAGTAAAGAAAAAAAAATGAGAACATAGTAGAACTCTTACAGTCTGGTAACCTACCAAACAATGTTAATTAAGACTCTCGTGTTGGCATAAGAATAGACATATAGAACAAGGAACGAAGAATTCAGAAGCAGATCAGTGTTAACTGATTTTCAATGAGGGTACTGAGACAACTGAATAGGGAAAGAATAGTCTTAACAAATAGTGCTAGGATGATGGATAGTCATAGGAATAGAATGAGATTTCATTTGAGCACACACTACGTGAAAATTCATGCCAATGGACTGAAGAAATAAAGAACGATATAAACTACAAATCTGTTAAAAGAAAAATCTTCATGATCGTGAATTTGAAATAATTACTAGATATGGCAATAAAAGCATCAGCGACAAAATAGAAAGTGTGTGATTTCATTCCTCTGAAAACTTATGCTCTAAGGACAATGTGAAGAAATTCGTACTATAGTCTGACCTATAAAGAACCACAGCTCAATCATAAAAGAACAACATGACTAAAATACGAGCGATGATTATGACAGACATTTCAAGAATGATATATATTCAACACACATAAGCAGGAAAATGCTACTCAAAACTACAGTGAGATAAGACTAAAGGCTACACTGCGAAAAGACAGATGAACGTCAAACACTGGAGAATCCAAAGAAACAGAAACCCTCATCAACAATCAGTAGGAATGGTATAACCATGTTGTAAAACAGTCTGACCTGCCATTAAAAGATTAAAGATGGTGACTAATCAGCAATTCAACTAGGTACATGCTCAGATCAGTGAAAATTTATATCCATACTAAAACCTGTACATATATGGTTAGGCTCATAAAAGTAGCTATATATATATATATATATATATATATATATATATATATAACCAAGAGGTACTGTAAGAAAGAACCCAAAACCGCTATTGTCTGATGAATTGATAATGAAAATGTAATATTCATACACTGGAATCTTATCTGTTTTTAAAGATTCAATGATGCACACTTAAACATGGATGAGCCTTGAAAGCACGCTAAATGAAAGCCTGTTACAAAGACCACGTACTTTTCTACTCGATTTACAGGAAATGTCTAGAGTGGCCAAATCCACAGATATGAGAGATCCGGGCTGGTTGCTTGGGGCTGGGATGGTACGTGCGGGAGCTGAAGGGATGGGGAACAAAAGGCCACCCCAGGTAGGAGCTCTAGTTGGGAATTCTGCACTCGCTCTCTGCACATTTCCGTTTTTTGTGCTCAGGAAATTAAAAACACTCGTATAAGGAAGCTAGCATGCAGGTGGAACACTAAAGTGAGGTCAAGGTTCAGAGGACAGGGGCATATGCTTTGCATGGAGAAGATCCAACCTTGATCCCCAGCTCAGCGTGGTCCCTAGCACTCCCGAGGGAACCATGAGCACTGTGATGGGCATAGCCCTTAAAGCGCGCATACACACACACACACACACACACACACACACACACACACACACACACGACAAAAACTGCCATGGGTAAAAGAGTGTTTTGCAGGTACAAGAGTGGAGTGGTGGAGTGAGGAATAAGCCTCATCACTAAAGAAGGCCTCACACAGCAGTGGAATAAAGGAAGGAGTAAGTCTCCATTTTCATCTTCCAAGTAAAGCTAATGATGTTCCTACCCTCTGGGCTCCCTCCCTCCAAGAGATGTCAAGCAACTGTGACATCTGGGCTGTTCTCCACTGCCCATCATCTCGTCCTAGCCTAGCTTCCCTGAACTGCAACCAAAGGATCCAGCAGAGTGAACAGTGCCCTGAAAGGCTTCTGGACACTACTGGATCTTTCAGAACCGAACCACCGTCCTTTGAGCTTAGCTGTCAGAAAAACCATACTCTTGGAAGTCTTTCAAACTGTGGTGGGAAACATTTTTTTCATTTGTCTGTTTTATTTTGGGGCCACTGTAGTGCTCGGGGATTACTCCTAGTTCTGTGCTCAGGGATCACACCTGGTGATTCCTGGGGGAACTTTGTGAGATGCTGGGGACTGAATTGCAGGGCACTTTACCCCTGTACTCTCTGGGGACAAGGATTTTTTTCCAAGTAGAGCACACACTTGGCATGTGTGAAGCCCAGGGTCTCTTCCTGGGGGTGGCCCTGCTGGTCCTCATGCCTAAGGACCACAGCCTCCAGCACGCCAGAGTGCTCCTGGGCCCCGAGTACTGCCGGTGTGGCCCCCACAGTAACAGAAACAGTGTGAACTGATGACTTATTTGGCTACAGCCAGCAGTGCTCAGGACTTACTCTTGACTCTGTGCTCAGGGATCAGTACCAGTGGGGGATCAAGAGGGGATGCAGGGATCAAGCCCAGGTGGAGGCCAGTGCCCGCCCTGCTGTACTACTGCTCCAGCCTTCGATTATCCGCACTGACACGCTGCCAAGCACTCAGCTCTTCTACCAAAAGAGATCAAAGTGGCAGAAAATAATTTTCCAAAACCTACGTAACTTCCAAAAGCAAGATGTTTTCTCTGTGACCTGGCACAAAGAAAGGCTTGGTCTGGGAGCCTCTGCAGGAAGCAGTCACCTTTAGATGAGTTCTTTTAAAGACAAATAATGGTCATACGTAATCCTTAAAATCCTGCCAAGATGCCTAGGAAGAAGTCCCTGCACACCTTCTCAAGCCCATTAACTCGAAGGATTCATATCTACCAATGTTAACAATAAAATGAGGCAACTTTTGTTAGACTATTGTGGACTAAAATGCCTTATCTTGATATATGTAAATTTATGTGTTTGCTACTTTTGCTCTTATTTGCTTATAGTTTTTATAATTATTAAGTTTATGGAATAAAAATTAATGATAAAGAGCTGAGGATATGGCTCAGTGGCCAAGGACATGCCTCTGTGCATGAGACATAGGTCCAAACCATAGCACTGCAAAACCTAAGTTAACGACAATATTATAATAGAAAGCACCGAATTTTAGAATACTTCATTGATTTATAGTTTGAATTTTGGTTATTGTATTTTGCTATATTACTTTATAAAGGGCTGGAGCGATAGCACAGCGGTAGGGCGTTCGCCTTACAAGCGGCCAACATGGCCGACCCGAGTTCGATTCCTCCGCCCCTCTCGGAGAGCCCGGCAAGCTACCGAGAGTATTCGATATGCCAGACACAGTAACAACAAAGTCTCCAATGGAGACGTTACTGGGCCCGCTCGAGCAAATCGATGATCAACGGGAGGGCCTTTACTTACTTACTTACTTACTTTATAAAATGTAATTGCTTAATTTTTCATATAGTATGTAAACCCCATGGAAAGCCAGGGATTGAACCTGGGTTGGCAGTGTGCAAGGCAAATTCCCTGCCCGCTGTCAATCGCTCCAGCCCCCCATTTTGAATCTTAATGGTTACTTTATTACCTTTATATCCTTTATTTTCTGTCTTTCAAAATTGTCAATAGTTTCCTCCAAATGACGAGTTGTTCGAGTAGCATCTATTGTAGCTCTTTGTAATTCAGTTTCTGCCTGCAAAAGCATTCCCCCAACCAAATATATTGGGAAAAAAAAAATCAAGTCAGGATCTATTCATTAGAGACTGTATAAATGCTATCATAGCACTACTGGCACTTTCTGGCATAACCGTTTGTAAATGGCTCCAAATACATTTTACTACATAAAATCAAATGCCATATATATAATACATGCAGAAAAAGCACTGCATCTATTAAGTAACACGACTTATGATCTCTAACAGAAGAAAGCAAACGCTTCCTTTTCTTTCCCCATCACCCCAGATGACTTATTTTAAAAGACCTTTCTAAATCTTCTACTGCTTTCATCTATTTCCCTGTGCATGTCATTTACCACACTATTTCTTTTCTTTCTTCATTTATCCCTAAAAAAGAAAGCACTTCTGACCCGGTTTTTCAATTTTCTAGTTCTCCAAATGCATTAATATTTCTAAATCTGTAATATCCTTATCAGGTAGAGTAGAATATATACTACAAGTATGTATTTTCAACATGGGTTTTTGGTTTGTATATTCTTACAAGCTAAGGATATTACGTTACCACTATTCAGTTCATGCTTATTACATAAAAAAAATGTACAAATTAGTGATAAATAGATGGCAAGTTTAATGCTCTGCTTAATATACTCATGAGAAGTCTTCATACTACTAGATCTGTCTTGTACAATCACCGTGACTGCCACTACTCACGTGTAGCTGGGACTACATTTAAATTAAAATCATGTGAAAAGTAACTGGTTCCTCAGATCCTAGAGACATTTCGTTTTTTTTTTTTTTCTTTTTGGGTCACACCTGGCAATGCACAGGGGTTCCTCCTGGCTCTGCGCTCAAGAGTTACTCCTGGCGGTGCTCAGGGGACCATATGGGATGCTGGGAATTGAACCCGGGTCGGCTGCGTGCAAGGCAAACGCCCTACCCGCTGTGCTATTGCTCCAGCCTTCCTAGAGACATTTCTGGACGGCACTGTAAAACGCGGAGAGCAGTTCCAAGCTAATAGTGTATTTCTCTTCTGAAATAAAACATCTCAGGCGTGGGGATAGTATGGGTCCAGGGACATGCCTTGGGTGCTCCCAAGACCTGTTCCATCCCTTGGCAGGCTTGGGGTGGCCCTGCTAGAGGCTGCCGGGGGCTGTGGCATTGCAGCCCGAGCACACGGCAAGCCCAGGCCCGATAATGAGTCACCAGCCAGGTCGCCACTGCTGCTGGGGTGGCTACCAGATGCTCGGGCTCTGCTTGAGAGGTCTCCCAATCATTTAAGTCTCTTTAGAACACAGTTATCCCCAAATGCCTGTACACAGTTAGCAGAGACATGAAAAACATATATGCATATATGCTTCGTTTAGTTATATCTTGGGGGTCATACCCAGTGGTCCTTGGGGGCTACTCCCAGTCGGGCGCACAGGGCTGTGCCTGGTATTGAGCCTGGGCCTCGGAGCTATCCCTCTGGCCCCAATTTTAAATTCTAATAGTTTTGTTTCCTGTTAGTATTAGATCATAAATCATTACTAGTTAGTCCATGAGGAAAATTTCATTGATAATCAAGATTCTGTGATATTCTGACTTTAGTGCACTTACTTTCAAAAAAAAAAAAAAGCATACATTAAAGTAAGTAAAAAACTTTACAGGATACATCTCTGTAAAGAGGAGAGCATTTCCAAGCTAATAATGTATTTCCACTGCTCCATTACCCACCTGTGACTGAAATTTCTCATAAAGGAAAAAATACATTTCAAGCAACTTTTTCCTATGAATTTAAAATATATTCAAAACTTACATACTCTGGAGATTAGATTATGTATTTGTTGTAACTCTACATTTATCGTATACTCAGGTTAATTTAAACACGCAGTTTCAAGACACTAAGCACTTAAAACAGACTCACTTCTAATTCGGGTGTGTGTATATACGCACTTATCAGATGGGACCTAACGTTTTCAAAAACCACACAAACTTAAAAATAGATTTGAATTAGTACTACTTTGAAGCGGGGGAGGGGAGCATGGTTGGGCGACATCTGGTGCTCCATGACCAGTCCCAACAGCATCGAACTGGACCCAGGTCTCTTGCACGTAAGCCTGATTCAGCGCCTTGAGCTCCCCATTCAGTTCTAACACAACAGACTCCACAGAAACTATGGATTCAACTGAGACTATGCAGACGCTGCACGTGGGGGATTATTGGGAGCACAGCTTGCCCTCTTTACAACTGCATGGAACAATAGATTATAGGGCTTGAAATTAAAAAAAAACCCACATACGGGAAATTCAAAGTGAAACAGAGCTCTTTTGAAGATCAGTATATGAAAAGGTATTTGGTTTATGTTAGCCTTTTATTAACGAGAATATTGCAACAGACTAATACTGCATTACCCGTGACTGATGGGATTCTTTATTTTGGCTTACTTTACTTTTTTTTACTAACAATACAGTCCCACTGAAAAACTGAGAAGTGCAGTCGGACTTGACTAAACCCGAGCAGGATGCAGAAGCCACAGCTGCAACCTCTGTCTGAGAATCTACCACCTTCCAGCAACTTTCCTTCATTCCTTGAAAGTTTCAAGTTCTTTTCCTCCAGCATAGCAACTGGCCTAATGTTGCAAGGCCAATTTTAGCAAAAGGACTTCGATTTCTAGTATTGCATTTGTGTAAGACCCCGTGATGTTCAATCTGAGTGGGAACTCTTCTGACTAAAATACTATCACAGTGCTCTAAGGAGCCTCAGTATATTGAGTCACATTAGTTTGGAATAAAATTAAAGTGCAAAACAGCTTGTGAGTGGTAAGAATGGTGATTTTCAAAGCGATTTTCAAAGCCTCTGAGGAAGCTTGCTGAGAAGCTCTATCTGCAGCCTTGGTGGGCAGGCGGGCAGGCAGAGGCCCGGAGTGGTCACTGGCGTATCCTCTTCTATCACCTCAGCTAATCTGCTGTGTTTTACACAATGACTGTACACGTGCCTCACTGGATCACTCAGACTGATTTTTAGGGATCTCTCCTGGTAAGTATTTGATGATGCCATGCCTGAATTCATATTTATACTGCATATACCTGCACGTAGGCTGTCCTTCATTTTCTAAGTCTCAGCTGTCAAAATCCACAGGCATTAAAGATTGCTACCAGTCAGCTGAGGAGTTCACGTACAGCAATAATCTACTCGGAAGTTATGGAACTTTCTCCCGCATGAGCCCATCAACCTGCTTCACCTAAGTCCAACTGAGTGGGCACAGCAGTGCTTCTCCTACCTAGCATGCTGGCTTATTCCGTGTTGGGGCAGCCCAATCTGCTGTCTCCAGAGTAATCAATCTCTGTTTCATTCTTCCCAGCCGCTCTGAATTCCAGACGGGACATTTTTCTGCCTGTACGCTTTTTCAAACAAATACAATCTTGACCTCTGGCTAATTCTTCTTTTCTGTTTTTGCTCTTGGGTCACGAGCAGCAGTGTTCGGGGGCTACTTCTGGTTCTGGGGTCTGCATCAGTTGCCTCGTGGAAGTGCTCGGGCAACAGTGTAGTACCCGGCATCGAACCCAGGGATTCCCATCTACAAAGTTCGAGCTGCAGCCTGCTGAGCCGTTGCCCTGGTCCTGTCGGAACCTTAACAACTAGTCCCCAAGCACCACCACGGATGGCCCGGTGCCCCCGCATACCTCACTGCTGAACTGTCTGGCCTTGCGCGGTCCGACCAGCATCCCTGTGTGCTGCTCTGGGTCCTCTGAACATTGCTCGTGGAACTGCCCACAAAGAAACCAGTGCCACTCTCGGGCTCTTGCCTTAGTTTCTAATTGCTAGCAATATTTTTGGGGGCAGTCTCCCCTGTAACTACCCAGTGCTGTTAGTGGGCATGAGCCTTTGGTTCAGAGGAGGACCAGGCAATCCGTGCAGACCCAAATCCTTGCTTGAAGGCTTTCCTAGGGGATGGAGGTGTTCTGAAACTTAATGTCCCCAAGAGTGACTGACTCCTCTTGAGCAGCAAAGAGCTTAAGGAAGTAGGGGGAGCACGTAAGAATGGGAAAGGGAGGCAGTGGGGTAAGCTAGTACTTTATACCTACTCCAGCTGCTGGCAATTCACCAAACACGAATTTCTATTCTTTTGCTTAGTCATGAATAACACACATTCTAATTTAAGAAATGTTCATCCTTTTTTTTTTCCTTTTTGGGTCACACCCAGCTTTGCACAGGGGTTACTCCTGGCTCATGCACTCAGGAATTACTCCTAGAGGTGCTCCGGGGAGCATATAGATGCTGGGAATCAAACCCGCGTGCAAGGCAAACGCCCTACCCGCTGTGCGATTCCTCCAGCCCCAAGAAATACTCATTCTTAAGATAAAAATCTTGCTACCTTGCTACAGTAAAAAGACTCCTAGCAATCTCTGGCGGAGTCAGAGCTTTGGTTTCACATAGCTGCTTTTTAATTTTAAGATGAAGGAAATTATACTGGGGAAATTTACTTGTCTTATTTTTACTCAAACGTAGGGCAGAGATGCCACTGATATAACAGGATTAACCAGATTTTTATAGACTTATGATTAATATTTAGTCATTACTTAGAAATATCTCTCAGAATTTTGAGTTAACTTTAAAAGACATTAACATTTATGGTTTAAATTCTCTTGAAAATGAGCACATTTTACAGTACATTCTTGAATATCTGTGGTTCCTTTAAATCTTTATACTCAAATTCTATTCATAATTTGTAACTGAAATGCACAATTCCTATCTATATACTTGCAAATTTAAGACTCAAATTCAAAGGATACAATAATATGTCGATCAGATGGGTTTCGCTGACGTGTTCTTTCTAATTGAGTTAACTGCTTAGCTTCTCGATCCCTTGCTGTTAATGTTGCTTTGAGGTCGTCCTGCAAATAGATACCTTTTGTTAAAAATAGTTGATTTAAGTAAAATATATGCTGTTTAAAAACACTGCCTACCTGAACCAGCAATAGCACCACAGCAATCATTACCGCAATATCTCTACTAGTTACTGAGCCTTTGTGTGTAAAAATGCGATTGGGTATATTTCATTTTCAAAATGATTCAGGGGCCAGCAAGATAGTATATTTGGTCTGGTCTTATACACCCCTGACCTGGGTTCGACCCTTGAGCACAGAGCCAGAGCAACCCAGTGTGATCCCAAAAGAAAGCAAGACAAAACTAAATAATACAGGGAAAACAATTTTAATGTAAATCCTCCTTTCACATGCACATTCACACATGTATGTATATATTTCTTGGACAAGTGTGTATATATATAGATATATATCATTTTGATTGTGATGGTTACTGTGTTTACTTGCATACATTACATATATATGTATGACTTTTCTCAAAACTCAATGAGCACTTAAAATAGAAGCATTTTATTCAATGTAAATCATTCTTCAGCAAAAATGATATGAAAAACAATCTTGTGGGGCGCTGGAGCAATAGCACAACAGGTAGGGCATTTGCCTTGCACGTGGCCGACCCACGTTCGATTCCCAGCATCCCATATGGTCCTCTGAGCACCGCCAGGAGTGATTCCTGGGTGCAGAGTCAGGAGTGGCCCCTGAGCATCGCCGAGTGTGACTCAAAAAGAAAAAAAAAGTATGTTTTTGGGGCTGGAGAGATAGCACAGCAGGTAGGGCATTTGCCTTACACGCGGCCAACCCAGGTTCAATTCCCAGCATCCCATATGGTCCATTGAGCACCACCAGGAGTGATTACTGAGTGCACAGCCAGGAGTAGTAACCCCTAAGCATCACTGGATGTGACCCAAAAAGCAAAAAAAAAAAAAAAACAAACAAAACACACCAAAAAAAAACCCCCACAAACAACCCCTTGTGGGGCTGGAGCGATAGTACAGCAGGGAGGACATTTGCCTTGCATGTGGCCAAGCTGGGCTCAATCCCTGACATCACATATGGTCCCTTGAGGATCCCCAGGACTGATTCCTGAGTGCTGAGCCAGGAGTAACCCCTGAGCATAGCCAGGTGTGCTCCCCCCGCCCAAAAAAGACAGAAAATAAAAAGTAACAAGTAGTGGAGTTGGAGAGACAGTCCACCGGTACAGGATGCCTGCCTTGCATGTGGTTGACCTGGGTTCAATCCCTTGCAACCAGGATTGATCTCTGAGTGCAAAGCCAGGAGTAAGCCCTGAATATTGCTGGGTGGGGCTTAATCCCGCCCACTCCCAACCCAAACCAACCAAACAAGCAAACAAACAAAACACCAATCTTGTAATGCTCATTCTGGTCTGCATGTTATTACCTGTTTTAACAAAAAATGTAAACTTATATTGACTTATTGAAAACAATTTCTGTCTAGGGGCCAGGACACTAGTACAAGGGACAGGACTTTGCCTTGCGGCCATCTAGTCCCATCCCCTAGGGTCCCCTGAGTACCGGCAGGAATAATGCCTGAGTGAAGAGCCAGGAATAACTCCACGGGACAACCAGGTGTGGCCTCAAAACTAAAACATTTAAACAAAAATTTTGTCTATATACTCATTACTCTAAATAGTAAATATTTTGTTTCCATAATAAAGTAATGCTTTATATTATAGTAGTATAATTAGTAAGCACACTAAAAATATTTAAGTTCTAAGATATGACACTTCTAATTTGTTTAAACACCATTTTATACTTTTTATTAAATACAAATATTGAAAACCTTGTCCTCTCTGCTGGAACACCTAAAAAAGTAGGAAAAATGAACTTACTCGTTTCATTTTTACAATGGTTCCATAAGCTTTCAGAGGTTCAACAACTTTGGCTTCAAGTCTTTCAACCTATTGAAAATTATAAAAGGTAACTGAAAAGAAACAGATATACCAGAACATAAATTAAAAAAAACAAACAAACAAACCCTGTACTGTTTAACTTGAACATAATCACTACATATATTAATACTAAAAATTTAAAACAATAAATTTTACAATTTAACTTATAAACAAAATATTAGAAATGAGTGAGTCAGAGCTAAACTGAAACACCAACTCTTGGGCTGCAGGTACAACAGTGTCCTGAATTCCAAGGCGCTCACCCGGCCAGACCACATCTATCGGCGCTTAAAGTACCTTCAAGCAGTAGCTTCCGGGCAAGTTTTAAGATATCACAAATATATACCAGACCAACTTTCCATCTATGCAAATCAACGCTGAAAGATAGAGAATATTGGAGATACTTAAAGCAACGTCATCTTCGAAGTAAACAAAGCTGGGGCCGGAGCTATAGCACAGCAGGTAGGGCGCTTGCTATGCACGCAGCCGACCCAGGATCGATCCCCCGCGCCCGGGAGGGTCCCCACACACCACCAAGAGTGATTCCTGAGTGTAGCTCCTGAGCGCCAAGGGATTTGGCCCCTAAACAGACAAACAAATGGAACAGAGCTACAAGACCACTGTGTAGAGTTCTGCCCCAACCCTTCAAGAAATCACTGTCAATCAGCAAAGCACAAGAAAAGTGGTCTACATGTTACTGAGCTGTCAAACTGTCTGGATGATATTTATATTTGAATCAAGAGTCTTTCTTAAACACTACAATTCCTTTTTTTTTCTTTTTTGGGGTCACACCCGGCAATACTCGGGTTTACTCCTGGTACAGATTCGAAGGATTACTTTGGAGGTGCTCAGGGGACCATATGGGATGCGGGAGATCGAACCTAGGTCGGTCACGTGCAAGGCTAACGCCCTTCCCGCTGTCCTATCGCTCCGGCCCCCCAAACAGTACAATTCTGACCACATTTTGAGCAGCTTTACCAATGGCATTAGTAGGAGGTAGTGAAGAGATACTTTATTTTAAAAGAAAGTATATGAATACAGCATAAGAAAATAACTTCTGGACATTAAAATTTTCTTTCTCAGGTCAGGTAATGAAAGAGGACATATACTTTATTGTTGAAAATGAGAGTTTGTTATTTTTGTAGTGGAAAAGGGCTTTTATCGAGAACACATTTATATAATCAGTGAGTACACTACATTGCATCCCGTTTTTCATTAGTTTTGATAAGCAAAATATATGGATAATTCATTTTGAAAAATTTTGGAAAAACGAAGAAAATTAAATTCTTTTAAGCATTTAAATATCAGGATGCTTAAAATCAAACCCACTGATATTCAGAATAGTTCCATTTATACCATTTCTAATAATCCATCCACTGATTATTCAGTGTCAGGACCGTCCAAGTCTTTCGTCTGTTCTCCTTTTTTCTTGCCTACCTTTTGTTCATTGTTCATTATCACCTCCACCATTTGGTAAGCAAAGGAAATAAAAAGGAGAACAAATGTAAAATCAGTTCTTTGCTATTTGATAAATAGCATGAAAGTTTTCTCTAGAAGGGGGTACTGGAATTATTGACTAACGGAAGATTTTAGGGCTATCGAGAAATTATTTTTTAAGTCTTAAGCACTCAGTTACGTATAACTGAGAGCTGTTTATTACAGAAACAGCACGTGGCATGAACTGAACGTTTTCCCAAAATGCACCTCCAACTTCCCAAGTCAAATCTGTATACGGATAATAAACTGTGGGATTCAAAGAGCAATATTCCCTCTCTCTCTCTCTCTTTTTAAATAGTTGGATTTCTGTTTCAGGATTCTTACCCGCGCTACCTAAAACGAGGTAAAGGATGCAAGTGAAGGCGATTCAGAGGTCTTCAAGGGAACGAGGGTCTGGGGAGAAGGATGCAGCCTCGGTCCGGGCGTGCTCCCCCAGGCCCTCTAAAAAAACCAAGTTTCCAGCTCGGGCGGGAGGGGCTGCCCGGGGGCGCGGCGCGGCCGCCGGGCCCACGTGACCGCCCGTCCCGGGCGCGCGCCCCCGTCCCCCGCGCGCGCGCCCGCCCGGAGCATCCTTCCTCCTCACCTGCGCGCGCCCCCGGCCCGCGCCCCCGGCCCGGCCCGTAACCGCCCGCGCCGCACCTCGGCCTGCCGGTAGTCCTGCAGCTTGGCGAACTCGTCGGCGAAGCTCTTGAGGCCCTGCTTGAGGTGGGGCGTCTCGGTGGCCGCGTACACGTTGACCTCGTTCACCAGCAGGTCGGCCTTGTCGCGCAGCCGCGCCGTCTTGCGCACGTAGGCGGCGAAGATCTGGCACAGCTCCCCGAAGTGCTTCTCCACGTTGCTCACGGCGTCCTGCAGCTGCTTCGTCTGCGCGTCCCTGCGCACCGAGGGCCCGGGCAGCACGGCCGGCCGGCCGGCCGGGCACCCCCGCCCCCTGCCCCCCGGCCGCCCCCGCCCCCGCCCCGGCGCCGCTCGCTTACCGGCTCTCCAGGCTGCGCCGCAACATCCTGCCCCGCGCTGCGGCCCAACGGCGCGGGCCTCGCCGCCGCCGGGAAGCCGGGAAGCTCGGAAGCTGGGAGCCCGCCCCACTCGCGCGCGCCTGCGCGCCGCCCCTCCCCGCCGGGCGTTTCCACGGCAACGCGGCGCGCGACCCCGCCGCCGGGCTGGGCGGAGCCTCGCGCCCGCTGCGGGCCACGCCCCCCGCCGCCAGCCCCGCCCCCCGCCGCGCCTATGCGAGCTCCGCCTCCCATCGCCGCGCCGCCGCAAGCCACGCCTCTTCGCCGCCGCCGGCCACGCCTCCTCGCCAGCCACGCCTCCTCGCCTCTGGCCACGCCTCCTGGCCTCTGGCCACGCCTCCCGGCCACGCCTCCTGACTGCTGCCGCCCCGCCGCCGGCCACGCCTCCTCGCCACCTGGGGTGCTGCATGGGCTTGGGTCCTGGATCGTGGGCGCAGCCCTTAGGGAGCCGGCTCTGTTCCAGGCGCTGCAGAGGGTGAGCCGGAAGCAGAAGGAGGGCGTGGCCACCAGCCTCGGGACCTCCAGCCCAGGGAGCAACAGCGGGTCCTGCTACTCCTGGTCTCTGTTTCTTTTTTTTAAAATTCTACCCAGATGCCCAAAAATAGTGACAATAACGGGCCTCATTCTCCTGAGCCTGAAAGAGCCCCCCTCCCCCCAATACCCCGTGGGGCTACGCTACCTCACGACAGGGATGAATGGAGTCGTTACTGGCACCCGCTTGAGCAACTAGATACTCGAGCAACTAGATGATCAAGGGGATGATAAATGACAATTGTAAGATACAGTTACAAAGCTTTCATGATTGAGCTTCAGTCATACAGTGATCGAACACCCATCCCTTCACCAGTGCACATTTTCCACCACCAGTGGCCCCAGTATCCCGCCTCATTCCACCCCTCCCCCTCCCTCTATGGCAGACAATTTCCTTTTTTTCTCTCTAATTTTGGGCATTATGGTTTATAATACAGCTACTGAGAGTCTATCATGTTTGATCCTTTGTCTACTTTCAGCACACATCTCCCATCCCGAGTGATCCCTCCAACCATCATTGACTTAGTGATCCCTTCTCTATCCCAGCTGCCTACTCCTCCAGCTCCTGAGGCAGGCTGCCAACCATGGAGTGATCCTATTAGCTCGGAGTCTACTGGCCCCTGAACCCCAGCTGCTTGTGGCCTTCTGTGCATTCAGCCTGTGTGTGGCAAAGTCTCCATACGGTTAGTTTATTCAGCACATGTTGTAAGCAGACCTACAAATTGTGTAGTCCCCTGAGATTCTTCTTTTTCTGGGGGGGGTTCACACCTGGTGATGCTCAGGGATTACTCCTGGCTCTGCACTCAGGAATTGCTCCTGGAGGTGCTGGGGGACCATCGAGGGGTCGAGATTAATGCCCACTGCCCTTTTACCCTTGGACATCCATGTCTTTTGGGCCCTGAATGACTGGTTAGGATTATTATTATTTTTGTGTATTAATTTTTAATTTTATTGAATCAGTGTGATGATGGCCCGAGTTCGATTCCTCTGCCCCTCTCGGAGAGCCCGGCAAGCTATCAAGAGTATCTCACCCATATGGCAAAGCCTGGCAAGCTACCCGTGATGAATTCGATCTGCCAAACACAGTAACAAGTCTCACAATGTTACTGGACCCGCTTGAGCAAATCTATGAACAACGGGAGGACAGTGACAGTGACAGTGATGACCGGTTGGGATTAAATCCAGCTTTATTTCTCTCAAGAAACCTCCCTGGATAATGCCCACTCTTTGCTGCTTCCAGGAGGAACTTCCATCTCACCACCTCCCTCTGGCCTTTAGGTTCTCTCTTGTAGGCTAGACTCACGTGGGGAAAAATCTCTGTCATTTGTGCCCTGTATTCCTCAGCACTAGGTGCTACTGAGTAAGAACTGCTTTGGGGCCGGAGTATGGCGGGTAAGGTGTTTTGCCTTGCAGTCACTGACCTTTGATCCCCAGCATCCCAGATGTCCTCCAAAGCACAGAGGCAGGAGTAAACCCTGAGCACTGTCAGGTCAGGTGTGGCTCCAAAACACACAGTTGGTTTGCAGACAAGTGGCTGTCCCCAGGCCTTTTTCCCCGCTCTTATATAATGCCATATATTCCGCCCTCCTGTGGGGTATGCCTCTCATCTCCTTGCATTCATACGTTGAATTACCTACTGTGTTGCAGGTCGGATTGAACTCGACATGCAGTGACTACCTGAAATCAGAAGACTTTTTTTTTTTTTTTGCTTTTTGGGTCACACCCGGCGATGCAAGGGATTACTCCTGGCTCTGCACTCAGGAGTCTCTCCTGGCGGTGCTCAGGGGACCATATGGGACGCTGGGAATTGAACCTGGGTTGGCCGCGTGTAAGGCAAATGCCCTACCTGCTGTGCTATCTCTCCAGCCCCAAAAACATACTTTTTTTTTCTTTTTGAGTCACACTCGGCGATGCTCAGGGGCCACTCCTGACTCTGCACCCAGGAATCACTCCTGGCGGTGCTCAGAGGACCATATGGGATGCTGGGAATCGAACGTGGGTCGGCCACGTGCAAGGCAAACGCCCTACCTGCCGTGCTATCTCTCCAGCCCCCAGAAGACGTTTTAAAAATGTAAAAAATTATTTTCATATTTACCAAGCCTTAGTTGCTGTTTTCTGCAATGTTGGCTTTTTGCAACTTCAGGACTGTTGATATTATTATTTCCCAGAAATTTCATTGCCATTGCCTTGGTGGGGGGGAGGTTCCCCCTCAGGGCGACTCCCAGCAGTCCCTACCTGGCGCTGTGGAGCCAGGCTAGACCCCAGAGCCTTAGACACATCAGGCATGTGCTCTACAACCTGTACCTCCAGCTCTTTATTATTTTAAGTTAAAAAACATTTTTTGGGGGGGCTTTGTTCTTGAGACCCACCCACAGTGCTCAGGACTCACTCCTTCCTCTGTGCTCAGTGATCACTCCTAGCAAGACTTGGGGGGGACCACATGGAGTTCCCGGGGATCAAACCAGACTTGGGTGTGTGCAAGACAAATGCCCCATCTTCTGTGCTATATGTCTCTGACCTCTAAAAACTGAAAAAAAAATGTTTCTTCCAGATTAATTTATTTGTACTGTTACGGATGACCTCATTTGAATTAGATCATTTTCATTTTAATTATGTCATTGCTTTGCTAACCCAAGCTTTCTCTCTTTCCCTCCTCTCTCCTGTTTTAGGAACGAAGAAAGAAGTTAAACGACCAACCACAGCACATATTTCTTTTCTTTTTTGCTAACAACTGAGTTAATGTTTAAGCATTTTAACTTTAAATACTTTAAGCAAATTGTTCTAATGCTGATACATAAAAGTAAAAAAGAATTTGTGTGTGTTTGTGCCCTTTACAGATCGAAGGGTTACCTATAACTCCCTCTAGTGGTAAATTTAGTATTTAAAACTATTTAGTGAAGAAGCTGTAGAAGCGAAGGAGATAGACACTGTCCTAGATGCCTTTATATCTTTTTATTTATTTATTTATTTATTTTGCTTTTTGGGGCTAACCCAGCAGTGCTCAGGGATTACTCCTGGCGGTGCTCAGGGACCATATGGGATGCTGGGGATCGAACCTGGGTCGGCCATGTGCAAGGCAAACGCCCTACCCGCTGTATTACAGCTCTAGCCCCTTGACCCTTTTGAAAGTCTAAAATAAATGTAGAACTTTTCATTGGGAGGAATATGCTCAGTGGTAGTCAAGGGCCACACTTGGTTCTGTGTAAATGGGTCACACCGGGCAGTGCTCACGGGACCATATGTGGTTCCGGGATTCAAATTACTTGTGGCTGCAGGCATATATAAGGCATTTTCCTCAACCTCTGCACTATCTCGTTGGCCCACAAGAACTTTATAATAATATTGTTGAGGAGCTTATTTAGATAGCTAAACTTTTTCAGTAATTTTACTTCTGATTAAAGTCTTTATTGTTGACACTGTACTTAACACAGTATAGCCTTGAGTGTTCCTGATTTCGATACAGTCATCCTTTGCATAGCATTTTGAAAAAAAATATGTAAAAGGAAATGAGAAATGCACATTGAGAATGGCACATCAAAATTAAATGGACCAATGGAAAGAGCCCCCCGTGGAAAATTTGAGCTATAAAGTAGAAATGGATTATAACCCAAAGGAAACACCACCACCACCCCCAGTTTATACTGAGATAAATACATGATCAAATACTTAAAAAGTGGAGCAGATACAAGTCTTCAAATACAGAAGAATTTCAAACAATTCATTTTGCTACTCTGCTTTCCTGTAAATGTATACATAGCTACTCAGTGTAGGCTACACACGGTCACTTCTTTCCAAAGAAGGTGGGTAGGTGGAAAGAGTAAGAGCTTTCTAGAGAAGAATCACGGCAAATACTCAGCACATAAAGTCAGCGTCACGAATGGCCTCTCTGGCTCCTCATCAAGCTGCTCAACGGCCGTGATCCCAGAGACTCAGGAGCAGATCTCGAAACCCAGTGGCTTTTGGCAGAAATCCCTCCAGATTTAAGTGTTAAAATTTCGGAATTTCAAAATCACATGGCCCTACTGCAGCCACGCGACATCATGTTATTCATAACCAGCAATAGAACACAAATTGTCTATTGTTGCCTTTTCAGCAGATCTGAGTGTTGGGGTAAAATCCCAAATAATAATGGTGGGTCTGGTGTCGAAATATTGAATGTGATCAAAGTAGAGAGAGAGTAATGTGGAAATCATCTGCCCCACAGGTAGGGGGAGGGTGTGGGATGGGGTATACTGGGGTTTTTGATGGTGGCGAATGGGCACTGGTGAAGGTACGGGTGTTTCATTGTATGACTGAGACTTAGACCCAAAAGCTTTGTAACTGCTCTCACGGTGATTCAATAAATAAAACTATAAAATATGGAAAAAGAAAAAAAAGTAAGGTGGAGTTCATGCACAATTCAATCAGCTAATCAGTGGCTGAATAAATAGCAGTACTCCTACTAAAAAAAAAATAAAGTCAGTGTCAGAAGTGATATGTCGTATTACAAAGGGTGTACCCTTTAGGTGGTGCACGGAAAGTATTACCTTATCCTTGAAGGCTT